GAACCTCGAAGCTGCCATCAAGGACCTGCAGAGGAGACTGGACGAGGCTGAGGCTATCGCCATGAAGGGTGGCAAGCGCGCACTGCAGAAGCTGGAGGCCAAGGTGAGGTTATGATTTTAGACCCAGGTATATGCTACTCTTGTGGTTTGTCATTTCTTCGTATAAAGAAGAAATCATTATTCAACTGCATTATGTTTCACTGATTGAGAGAACACAAGAACTTTTTTTTTCTGTAACACAGGTTCGTGACCTGGAGTCTGAACTCGACACCGAGCAGAGGCGCCACCAGGAGACGCTGAAGAACCTGAGGAAGAACGAGCGCCGTCTCAAGGAGCTGAGCTTCCAGGCCGACGAGGACCGCAAGAAGGAGGAGCGCATGCAGGAGATGGTTGAGAAGCTGCAACTCAAGATCAAGACCTACAAGAGACAAGTGGAGGACGCTGTATGTATCCTTTATCACTATTTTCGCAACGCGCAATTTCCACTTTTCTCAGCAAAGCCAAGAATCGATGTGTCCATTTTTAGCAGTATCGAAGGAGAAGCAGACAATGAAATATTCTTTTTATCTATTTCCGATGCAATATAATAGTTCATTGATCAACATCATATGTATTGATTTACAGGAGGAGCAGGCCAACGTCAACCTCGCCAAATGGCGCAAGACCCAGCACGATCTGGAGGATGCACAGGAGAGGGCCGAGATGGCCGAGTCCGCCCTGGGCAAGATGCGCGCCCAGCACCGCTCCTCTTCCGTAAGCGTATTGACATCAAATTTGCAATTTCCTTTGACAAATATTTTACTTTGACTTTGGCTATGGACTATATAACTATGGATTATACCATCACAGATGAGCTTTCATTCAAATATTTGACTTTTCACTCCTGCTGACATCTTCTCTTCGTGTTTGTCTGTTTCAGGGCAAGAAGTAAAGCGTTTACCGACTCCCCTGACTGTAGAACGTAGCACACATAGTCGACTTCAGAAGCCCAGTTTGGTTCATCGGCGGTCTCGGTGTCTCCCTTACCGGCGGCACTCCCGTTTGGGAGCCCCAACGCACGCACTTCTATACTGACACTGCGACTGAGTGGGGGTGACGCGGAGTGAAGCGGCCACCGAGTTATCCGATGTAAAACTACTACCTGAATAGCTATGGTTAGATATACAGCAGCATTAAATAAGTCAGTTTGCCGCCATATAAAAACAACTCACTGTGAGCGGCGTTGTAGACGCACTAGATGCAATTCAGTCTCTACTAAGTGTGGCTAACACTTCTTGCCATATGCCTTCAATGTCTGTCTCTGTTACGTTCGTCTTTCTGTTATGTTCCACGTCTTCAGCTCGTTAAATTTAAGCAATTAAACTTAGTTAAAACGAAAAGTTGTCGCAATTTAAGAAACGTACATGGAACTTAGGACTGATGCAGATAAGAACTTGTTTCAGCCCAAACTTCGACGCAATCAACCTTCTGGAAAAGGATAAAACGAGAGTATATATTGTATATGTATCTCTTCCGGGACCACTAAGTAGTCTTAGAGATGCGTTTGGAAAAAAATGTATGGTTTTGTGACGTGTATGGTTGCTTCGTTGCCATTGATACTGATTAAACTTCTTTGAACAAAAATGTCATCCTTTTTGGTCATTTGCTGTCCATTTTGCAATTACCCGTAATATACTGAGTAAGTAGTAGAGTATCAAAATCCTTAATATTCTCTATCTAGTACCTATACCGTGACTAAGGAGGGCCCAAATTAGATGTTGACTGTCGAGATTAGTAATTTGCAAATATAACCGACAGAAAAAGAAGTGCTAATCCATAGTAAAGGCCTTAGTTATCCTTAAAGCCGCTTTGGTCCGTAATTAGCTCGAAAACAGCTGCCCAACAGGCGCTTGTCTGATCTACGGTCTCGTTATGGGGCCAGAATTAACTACCATTGATGCTGCTGCTGCTATGTAATAAATGTAGGAAATTACCAACTAATGATATCCAGTTGTGTGGCGTAGACGGCTTAGTGGTTATTAGGCTAGCGTACACTGTCCTGGCAGCACTGAAGCAGAAGTTCTCAGTTGAAGATGACAAGATTTTCCTCACTCCATACAGGTGACTACACTGGTTTGGGAGGCAAAAGTCGGTAGAAAAGTATGGACTCTGCCAAACAATACCATGGCTAGCAAGATCGTTAACCCAATGCCGCTAAGGCGAAACTACTTAGTGGGGGATGCCTGTCCTTTTTACCTGATATCTAACTTTTACCTGATACCTAGGTGATCCAGCACTCTCTCTGCTTGCCTTTTACTGGCGATGCTTGAGGTCCACACGGAAGCTTTCACAGATACTTCCAGCGTATTTAACGATAGCTGTGCTGATACCTAGATTACGGGCTTACGCTAATTAAATTACGGGATTTAGAGATCAGTAAGACACCCCCGTTGAGGATAGACCACCAAGGAGTACACCCCTTATCGGCATGTGTGGTCAAGCGGGATTTGTGGACAGACGCAGACCTGATCCAGCATGATAAAAAAAGGAAAAGGTACAAAAGCTTATATTTGTACAATGCTACGATCAAACCGGTAAAGAGACTCAAATTTAGATTAATATTTGGTAGAAATTATCTCAAAATAATAAAGATGATTATTGATTAATTTTACCTAACCATCTGCATGTTCCTAGCCGTCAGATACTGTAGCAAATTCATATCTATCTTGATAAGTATCCGCACTGCTAACTACAGATCTGTGTGAGCAGTAGGGGCATTGCCATTGGATAGCTTTAAAGAGTTAGATGTTCAAGGGTTAGGTGTAACACGTCGTTCGGTGTAATGTATCCAGCTGTCGCCGCGCCGCGTGCCTGCGAAGCTGGTGTGTTACGCCGAACGGGAGTTATACTGGCTATACAGAATACAGATACAGAAGACCGTCCCTGTCCTGCACAGTGCCGTTTCGCACCTCCACTCCATAAGGGTCAATTCGCCTCGCGTGCCGGAATGTGAAACGCGATCTCCGATCAGAAAATCCGGGTCATTAATCTTAAGACGATGACAAGAATCGCAAAACGGTTTAACCCCAAATCCTTTGCTCGGTATAAGAGAATCTTCGAGTCCAATTTATTGATATCCACAAGCTTCATTAACACCAATAGTCTAACGATAAGTTCCCGGTTAATTGAAACCCCTTTCCTCTGTGTGCGCTGGTAAGATAAACATCACTATGCAAACAGTTTCATAATGAGCCGCCGCGCAGCTGTGGAGGCTAATCAGCTATATTTGCCCTCACAGATTCCTCATTCAGAAAGGTATTTGGCCCCAGCATAGTTCCCGAACTTGTAAAAACTGCAAGTTCATCTTTTCAGCTAAAGTAGCCACCTCCCCAACATGAGTTCTGCTTTTAGTGAACAGTTGCTTGGTGGCGCTATACTCGCAGAATTCACCACCACAATGAAGTCAAGAAATTTTATGAAAATACAAAACCATGAAAACAACTATTGTATCATCCTTGGGGTAAAAAGAGTCACCCATGCCGTCCTACACTTGTGTTTGTGTTGTTGACCATTCTTAGAAGTTTTGTGAACTATTTTACCATAGCGCTATTGTCTCTGTAAGGTTGCCTTGAAATTGAAAGAACGGCATTAGCACATTTCTGTACAATGACAAGATATAACAAATTCACTATAGGCGGCGCTCGCGAAAATCTGGCAGCAGGCATGTGAAATCATTTTCGTAAAGCAGACTGAAACTTTTGTCTTTCTTTTTTTCTAAAAGTACAAAAGACAAGAAACAATCAACTTGGTTCATGGCAGCGCCTCGACCCATATTTGGAAATCCATGGCATTAATGTTTTCTTAGTCCCATCGCAACTTCAGTATAAAAAAAGACCGGCAAACAAACAACCTCGACCAATGGCGCCGCGCGTCGCTATTTTGGGGATATTTGCTATGTAAACCTTTGCAATGTAATGACAAGTATCGATGGTATGCAAGTTTATCCACATTAAAAAAAAACGGATCAAAATTTAACAGAACGACATGTTCTACTAGGTGTTTTTACAAAGATATCCCGTTTGTGATATAAACTTTCCAGCACTGCACATCTGTATCTAGATTTTAGCGAGTCAGCAAAATGGAACCTCATTAACTTTAGCAAGTTACTTGGAACTTGACAGGGAACATCTCGTAAAGCCACTGAAGATATAAAAGTTTTACAATCATCTCATCTACCCCTTGGGCTAATTATTTGTCTGTTGCGGCAACACAGAATATCTGACAGCCAGTTGTCTCTGCCCTTCCCGGTTTTCTGTTCTTCTTATCGTCTAATGAAGTATCGTGCCGGTCCATTTATTCTCTGTCATCCACTGCCCATCTTTCCTGTTGCCTACTCCTGTTTTCTTTCTCCTCCCTGAACTGTTCCTTCTAACACTCAGTGTAAGAACCATCTCTCCAGTATAACGATCCCTAAAATTTATGACGCATTTTCCGTAACACCGTAACATAATCCGAACGATGGTCAATCCGGTCATTCACCCCTACCCACTGCTGTCCACACACCATAATTCATTTAAACAAGATAGGAGCAAACCAAAACGTTACGGGATGTTCAAAACGGCGACGCAATAATTGTAAGAGTTTTGTTAGACATTAATAAAGGTTTTATAGTTCATAATTATACATTTGTAAGGAGAGTTGTGGCTTGGGAAGTTTTAAATGTACCACTGCCTCCTTGACGCACCATCGTACTCTTTAGTTCCGTACGATTGGGACCGGGCTTCAACTAGCTTCCATAGCATGCGAAAAGCTGGGGGTTTTGGGGGTCTTCATGGTCTTTGGGAGCTTTTATGTGCTATTTTCTGATTGCATATAGACAGCATAGCCGGCCGGGTTGAACTGGGCTAATCAGAAAACAGCCGAGGACCACCAAACCCCCAGTTCTATAAGCCTGCTACGGAGGTTAGCTTCAACAGTGATGCAGTGATGATACAGATAAGGGTAATGACGTTTGTACTCACAGTTTGTGACCTTGGCCTCAGTGGGGATGATCCTGCCCTTCACCTTGGCGGCTCTGTCGGCGCCCTTGTCCCAGAGAGACCCTTGGCGTTCTTCTACTGACCCGCAGATTACGACTTGACCTCCTCCGTCCGGTCTGGATCGCTGAAATCGCTTTGCCGCTCTCCTGTAATCAGACGCTTCTCTTCTTCCTCTAGCCTCCATAGAATGCCAAAAACCGAGGGGTTTTGGGTTTCTTTGGGATCTTTGGGAGCTTTTGTGCGCTATTTTCTGATTGCATTTAGACAACATAGCCGGCCTGGTTGAATTTCCCACGTTAGAACTGGGCTAATCAGAAAACAGCCGAAGACCACCAAACTCCCAGTTCCATAAGCCTGCTACGGAGGCTCCTCCATCCAAGGATGCCACAGAAAGCAGTTCTTGCTCGTCCACAGCGAGGAGAGTGGAGACAACAATGACGAGACAGAATGGCTGCGGGCCTGGTTGGGAGTTATGCCATGGAGATGGGAATAAACAATTTGGAATTTTGACGCATGTTTTCGTAAGCCTCCTGGAAACAGGGGTGAATGACCAGGGCGCCCTAATAAATTGAACGCGTTAAGCTGATCATGGGTCAGACTTCAATGGACAACAGAAAGATGTCAGCGTTTCTTTCACATGTCATTTTACAGCCAATTTTAAAGCACAGCGATACAGGCCGTTGCCATGGTACTTTTCAGAATCCGCGGCTCGCCTTTCCATTTAAACCAGCGAGCTCCCAAACAACAATTTACACAGCATGCACACTTCGTCAGCACCACGCGAACTAAAAAACAAACTGGCGCGAACGACCCAAGTCTTTCCCGTCAGAAAAGATGACTTTTGTTCCAATTTTCCGAACTTCTTAAAACATCCCCCGCATCGCTTGTAAAGGCAAGCAGTTCAAATGAGAACGTACTGACATTTTTCCTCTATTAATACTTATTTTAAGTCACTCCCTCTTTCAGCCTATGATTCCCGAAATGCACCTGTCCCCCATGTCTACGTCATCCTCCGCAGTCCCCGAAGAGCCAAACTGTGCAACTATCTCCCGGCCAATCACAGCTCACGCTAAAGAAAACCGGCGAATGGCCGACCAGAATTTAACGAATGTGATTACACTTGCTATTTACGCTGTTATAAAGGCCGCCACCCCTTCGCCCGCTATTCCGACAGCTTTTGACCGAAAGGTAGACGACCCGTTCGTATTATTTCTTCTTTTTCCTTATTTCACATTTTAGTCTTCCAATGCACGAAGTAGAGTTCAAACCATCCTTTTTTGTGTGTTGTGATCTGAGAGCAATATCGCTGTAACGTTGAATGCTAAAGTACCCTGAGTAAGATCTTACGGTTTAGATAATGCTTGTGAGGAAAAAAGAAACAGAGGGTAAGGGCATGCGAGTGGGGAACGGAATAAGGTCGCCCTAGTTTGTAGTGAGATGATCCGCTTGCTTGCTTGTTTGAGGCCCAGATACCGCTTGGGTTTTGGGACGAATGTGACAAATTTTTGCTCGATCTTTTCGCTCAGAAATTAGGTCAGCACAAATGAGTCTAATTATAGAAATAAGGTTTGTTCTCCGGAGGAAAAACATGCTTTGAATTCTCCACGCCCCCCCCCCTTCCCGTGGTCCCTAGCTGGTATTCCTGACAGGATCTCGCACTGTGCATATAGCTCCTCTGTACCAGTACCGGCCTAACGCACCAGCTTCTCTTGTGTCTCTCCCGTGCAGCTCTGTCGGCGTGCCACTCCTTCCTTCTTCTGTAGCCAAGAGGAACCCGAGCAGCCAAGATGCCGCCCAAGCAGGACAAGATTTCCGACGACCCTCGGGTCTACATCTACGGCGACACCAAGTTGCTGATGGAGCTCCGCTCCGCGCCTTACGATCCCAAGAAGAACGTCTGGGTCCCCGACGATAAGGAATGCTACATCGCCGTGGAGGTGAAGGAAGAGAAGGGCGACAAGGTCGTGGTGCAGCTGCCGAAAGGCGCCGTAAGTACAAAAAATACTCGAAATTGACATCACATCATCGTACAATGCAGAACAAGCTTTACGACTGGAATAGTCACATGTGAAATGTACATTGTGCTTCATGCTTGTTCGCTATTTTCCTGCTATATGACCCTATTGGGCAATAATTTATTTATTCATTGTATGATTTGCAATAAACTTTTGTATTGAATTGTTGTAAAGGATCTTTTTCTTTGCCTCTTCAAGTGTACAAGAATCAACGTTTGCTTTAAACTCCACTTTCTTAACCCTCTGTAGACCAAGGACTTCCCCAAGGACAAGTTGGTGATGATGAACCCCTCCAAGTTCGTCTGCTGCGAGGACATGGCCAACATGACCTACCTGAACGACGCCTCTGTGCTGGCGACCCTCAGGGACCGTTACGCCAATGGCCTGATCTACGTAAGTCACTAATTCATACTTGCAAGATTTATTGTAGCGTTTTCACAGTCTGTAAGATGATGCGACGATTAGCAGATCCATTTTTATGTATTTGATGGGCGGGCCTAAAAAATGTGTTGACAGGGGGTTTGAGTTCTGCTAAAACAACAGTAAAAGAATGCAAACAACTTGGAACTAAAACCGGGGGTAATGGTTGAGTACAAAACGATAGAGACAGACGCACGGGACGAGCTCCAGCTAGTTACATTTGCTTGGACACGAATGTACTAGTAAGCTAAGGGCCAGTACACTTGGTTTACGACAGAAAATTGAAGGCACCGTAGAGACACCATTGGATGTTCTCTACAACATGCAGCTGCCTTGTAAAGGAAAGTGTTCTTCACTATTTGTACACGATCAGAACTGTCAAAATCTCGATAAAGAAAACCGCCACAAAAATCGCACACCCAATGCGCGGTTAGAACAATGTCACAAAGTCAAAATCAAATTAAATAAGGAAAACGAGAGACGAATTGTGGACAGCTCAGCAGATATACGCAACCATGTCTAATTATGGTAATGGGGTCGATTACTGTTGGTACAAGCCACGAGCGCGCGCGACTTCCAAAACGGGAACAAGACAAACACGCAGCCGGGCACGCGCTCAGGGCGGGCGGTTCAAACGGGATACGGACCTGTCAATTACATGTCAGCTAACATAGCAAGAATGCGGGGGGGGGGTAGGATGTGGCGCTAGAGTAGACCACTGGGAAAACAGAAATGATAGGATAACCATTAGTGATCGTACAATTCTTATCGTCTGCCAAACATGAAAATGAACTCTAATATAATAACATTTTCAGTACATTTCCATACATTTTCTGACTTTTGGAATTCTACTGCTGTCCCAGGAATGAGTTTGCTTTTCCAAACTCTCGTACAAACAAAACAAACAAACAAGGCATGTGTCCAGCCAGAGTCGAGACCATAAGACTTAACATTGCAAGCCTCAAAGTTATTCTACAAACTAAGGTTCATTGAGTCACCGGTGAAGGGTTTACATCAGAAACTGTTACAACAAACTTAAAGAGGCGTGCGTTGACTTTGAATTGTTCTTTAACTCCTTAAATGTTTCGTTTCCCTACTCCAGACCTACTCCGGGTTGTTCTGCGTCGTGATCAACCCCTTCAGGCGCCTCCCTCTCTACACGGAGGAGGTTGTTGGCATGTACCGTGGCAAGAGGCGTCAGGAAGTGCCGCCTCACTTGTTCTCTGTGGCTGACAACGCCTACCAGAACATGTTGATCGGTAAGACTACTTGGACGTATTGTCCAATGACAAAAACGATATCGGAACAAAGATCTAGGTCGCTAAAGGCAAATTTGACGACATCCTACGTGTTTGTGACATCCACTCTGCTGTGTTTTGCTTTTTTTTTCATTTTTAAATTCTTAGTCAATCTCACGATTTCTATCTTTCTCTCTTTTACCGTCCTGCCGTACAGACCACCAGAACCAGTCTATGTTGATCACGTAAGTATCTATTCCCATAGATGCCATTTCTCTCAATGTAGCCTAGGACACTAGCAGGGCTCACGAAATCATTATCGATAAGTGTGGTGTTTATTTTGTACGTACTTGTATTGTAATTGGGTAGACTTTGCTAATTTGACAAACAACTATTTGACCACAGTGGCGAGTCTGGTGCCGGTAAGACTGAGAACACGAAGAAGGTTATCTCCTACTTCGCCTTGGTCGCTGCTCTGGGAGGCCCCAAGAAGGCCGAAGAAGAGAAGAAGATCACCCTTGAGGACCAGATCGTGCAGACTAACCCTGTACTGGAGTCCTTCGGTAACGCCAAGACTGTCAGGAACAACAACTCCTCCCGTTTCGTAAGTACATATGTTAAAATGTGTGTACCGCGTCGTAAAACGTTACGTTCTAGTCGCATAGACAAAGTAATGTCATTCTAACTGCCTTGTCCTTTATCACAACTTGCTGCTACCCACCGCTGGGTGGCGTTGCTGCAACAAACATGACATTCTAATCCGTCTTCTTCCAGGGTAAATTCATCAGGATCCACTTCAACACCAAGGGCAAGTTGGCTGGTGCCGACATCGAGTCCTGTACGTATACAAACCATCACTCTTTGAATTTGTCCTTTGTATTCCACACTCATTCTTCTCAGCCATCACCTTTTAGAGACAAAATATATTGAAGGCCTTGTCTTGTTTGCTAAGTAACTTCTGTATCCTCCAGATCTGTTGGAGAGGGTGCGTTTGGTCGAGCAGCTGCCTGGTATGGAGCGTGGCTACCATATCTTCTACCAGCTGCTGTCCAGCGGCCTGAAGGAGGTCACAAGTAAGTTAACCTTTGTTAACGAATCATGAACGTGTCCAAGAAGTCGTCGTGTAGACATAGACGATAATTTATCCGCCTTTTGGAAGTTGTCGCAGATCCGGAGGTGTGTTCTGTCGTAGATTAGCTAACAGAACAATGGGACAGCGTACAAGTATGTAACGGCCCCCTGCTTTTTATATAAGACATCCTGGAAAGTACAAACACGTTCTCTCACCATGCATTTCAGAAATGATCATGGTGAACGAAGACGCCCATGAGTACAAGTTCTTGGAGAAGGGTGAGAAGACCATCAAGAACGTGGACGACAAGGAGGAGATGCTGTTGACGGACGAGGCCTTCGACGTGCTGGGCTTCACCCAGGACGAGAAGACCAACATCTACAAGCTGACTGGTGGTCTTCTGCATTTCGGCAACATCAAGTTCAAGTCCAAGCCAAGGGAGGAGCAGGCCGAATGCGACGGCACTGAGTGTAAGTTTTAATCACGAACCTTAAGTTCTTTTGTGACTATCTTTGACAGTGGCATTCACAGTAAGATACATGTTTGCTAAAGCTGCTGACAAAGTGACCATCTTTTCGCCATCGGAAAAGACCCACTTAAAAGAGTGCGAGCGTTAAGTAGAATAAAGTGATCAGAGTGAGCGAGTAAGTCTGATCTTGTACCTATCCAATCTCTACTCAGCTGCCGACAAGATGTGCTACCTGTACGGCCTGAACAGCGGTGAGCTGCAGAAGGGTCTGCTCAAGCCCAGGGTAAAGGTCGGCAACGAGTGGGTGGCAAAGGGCCAGAACTGCAACCAGTGCACCTACGCCGTCAGTGCTCTGGCTAAGGGCGTGTTCGACAGGCTCTTCAAGTTCCTGGTCAAGCGTTGTAACGACACCCTGGACACCAAGATGAAGAGGGAGAACTTCATTGGTGTGCTGGATATTGCCGGCTTCGAGATCTTCGACGTAAGTAAATATTTTGAGATTATGCACCAAACTATGAAACTAATGTTCAAGAACTTGAGAAATAATATAACAGACCTAACAAACATACAAGAATGAGTCATGGGTCTATCTTTATATCAAGATACACCACTGAAGGTAAGCCTTCACTACAGGCTTGTAGTACAAGAACAATAAACGAACCAGTTTAATCGTTTAACGACTATATTCTTTCCACAGTTCAACAGCTTTGATCAGCTGTGCATCAACTACACCAACGAGAAGCTGCAGCAGTTCTTCAACCACCACATGTTCGTACAAGAGCAGGAGGAGTACAAGATCGAGGGAATCGAGTGGGAGACCATCGATTTCGGTATGGACTTGGCCAAGACTCTCGCCCTGATCGAAAAGGTGAGTAAAAGACTAGGATTCATTGTGGAAGTGATTCTTTAATACAAATATTTCCTCTACCTTTGTTTGCGTGGTGAACCTGGCATGTGAGTCTGACGCTTCTTCTCCCTTATCAGCCCCTGGGTATCCTGGCCATTCTGGAGGAGCAGACTATGTTCCCCAAGTCCAGCGACAAGACCTTCATCGACAAGCTGCGTGACCAGCACTTGGGCAAGCACACCAGCTTCTTGAAGCCAAAGAAGCCCAAGATCCCCAAGTACGAGGGTCACTTCGATCTGGCTCACTACGCCGGCAACGTGACCTACAACATCTGCGGCTGGCTGGAGAAGAACAAGGACCCCATGAACGAGACTGTGATCGGTTGCTTCAAGAAGTCCAACAACGAGCTCCTGAAGGATCTCTACGCAGACTTCCTGACTGCCGAGGATCAGGGTTAGTACTTACTTCGTTAAGTTCTCAAATTGGACTTTGATAACGGCACCCTTCGTGCCTATGCCTTTGAGTCCTGGTTTTCCGGATCCGTTTTTCGTCTCTAGTCTAAGTTTGGCTTGGTCTATTGGGAACAGGAACTTACACACATATTTGTAATCTTTGTAGCTGCTGCCCAGAAGAAGTCTGGCGGCGGTGGCAAGAAGAAGGGCGGAGCTCTGCAGACCGCCTCTGCCACTCACAGGGTAACTATCACCTTTTTTTGTTATTCCAACATTTCATGACAAGACCTTATGACGGCAAACTCAAGTTATATCAACTTATTTTATGCCGTCAACAACTCAGATAGAGGACAAATACGGAACAGGACAATACTCAGTTTCACCTGAATTAAGTCAGCAAAGTCGTGTAAAGTGCCTTTTCCAAGGACACAATATCGGTAGCATGTCAGACTCGAGCACTCTACCACAATTTTGCACAAATGGAACCCACATACACATATCACCGTTTTGAACTTTAAATTAAACCTTAAAACTTCTGATGTTCACTGGTGTTTATGGATGTGTCACGCTATTTGATTCTTGGAAACCGACATCGTCCTAAACTTTTCTGATTTTTACTCTTTCTCTGCCCGAAAACAGGACCAGCTGGCTAGGCTGATGGCCACTCTGCACACCACCTACCCCCACTTCGTGCGTTGTCTGATCCCCAACGAGCTGAAGACCGCAGGCATCTTGGACGCCACCTTGGTTATGCACCAGCTGACTTGCAACGGTGTACTCGAGGGTATCCGTATTTGCCAGAAGGGCTTCCCCAACAAGATGGTCTTCAGGTACGACATTTTGTTTTGGTTTATATTTTTTGTCTTCAATGTCTTTGTGTTCATCTGGGTTCAATTTTAAAACACCGATCCAACATTAATACAGTTTTAAGTACATAGTGTTGCCAACATCACAATTATTATGAGTAAGGTAACTGCTGTCATGACTATCATAATGATTGTGTGGCCAATGATCACTTAGCTGAAACTCACTTGCTGAAACACAGAATTTCACTTGCCTCATTTCGTTTGGTACATGAACAAGTTATCACTGTCCTTGGTACTGAATGACAGTCACACTGACAGCACTGTTCTTGGTACTGAATGTCAACACTGTACTACTTTCTAATCCCATAAAACACGAACACCGATCTCTTCCACAACAGGGAGTTCAGGCAGCGCTACAAGCCCGTGGACCCCGTCATGGCCAAGGAGGTTCAGGACGACCGCGAGTGCTGCGTCAAGCTTCTGGAGGTGTCTGGCCTTCCCAGCGACGGCTACGGCGTGGGCAAGACCAAGATCTTCTTCAAGGCCGGCCAGGTCGCCAAGCTTGAGGACATCCGTGACGCTAAGCTGTCCGTCATCATGACCACCATCCAGCAGCGCATCCGTGGCAAACTGCAGCGTCTCGCTTACGAGAGGCTCAAGGAGCAGAGGTAACCCATCAAGTCTCTTCAGGCTAAGCACAATACGCCAAGAATGGCAGAAAGCTTACTTCCAAAACCCGGCGTTCGCGCAGACTCTTGTGTGATACATTTGTTCTACAGTTTCATATTTCCAGCGCCATTCTACCAAGGTTCACTACTTGACGTGTTTGTGTGTTGTATTCCAGGGCTGCCCTGAAGATGCTGCAGCGTAACGTGCGTAACTGGATCAGCCTGCGCACCTGGGAGTGGTGGAAGCTGTTCTGCACCATCAAGCCCCTGCTGTCTCAGTCCCGGGCAGATGAGGAGCTCCGTGCCAAGGAGGAGGAGCTGACAGAGCTTAAGGAGGAAGTGGAGAAGGAGGAGACCACGATGGCTGACATCCAGCAGAAACTGACCGTGGCCGAGCAAGAGAAGAACGAGCTCGCCGCTCAACTGTCTGCTGTAAGTACCGAAAAGGCTCCCACCGTGCAATATGTAGCAGTAACGCAGTTGGGGATAGAAAACTACTAACCTTTATGGTAACGTTACGACATGGTAACGTAAGTAAATAGTAGAGGGGATTCATTCCTCAAGCTAACTCAAGACATCTCGCACACGCAGTCGTTTCCCAGTAAGACATCTGGAGTCGCATAGTTCCCGCTTAGAATATCTATTCAGCCTGTCACACTAACGTAAGGATATGACAGTTTCAACATTTTGGGTGGTTCTTGGCCTTACAGCGTGTTCATTTTCACTTGAATCCTCTTTCCAGGAACAAACCAACACGGGTGACATCGCCGACAGGGCCGAGAACCTCATCAAGACAAGGCGGACATGGAGCAGAAGATCGTTGACTACAAGGAGCTTCTGCAGGAGGAGGAGTCCAAGAACTCCGAGCTCAGCGCCGCCAAGCGCAAGGTATTTCCCTGCTCTTTGTGTTTCTTCTCTGAGTAAAAATCCTGGATGGTACATGATATAGTGCGCATTGTAGAAATCTCGTGCCAAATTTAGACATTACAAACTGCTATGCCACATGTTCATTCAAACAAGATGGTCTTTTATGACCATAAGGATAATTCACATCCGAATCGTATTGCCTCGTTCACTCACTTTCCTCCTTAACTTCACCATAGGTCGAGGGTGAGGTGGATAACCTGAAGAAGGACCTGGAGGAGCTGGAGAAGACTCTGCAGAAGGTGGAGAAGGAAACTCGCGGTGTGGAGAACAGGGTTCGCACCACCTCGGAGGAGCTGGCAGCCCAGGAGGACCAGATCGCCAAGCTGTCCAAGGAGAAGGCTAAGCTGGAACAGCTCAACGCCGTACGTATGATTTCTTCGGAGTGATTGAAGCTGATTCTGATTGAAGAAAGTTACAAGATCTTACGTTCTGACGGACTGACCAGTATTGACGTCCATTTCGGTTCGGTTCAAGGCCTGGAATTTTTATCGAAGTATCTTGAAATAACAGATATGTTTATTTTAACCGAATACAGACCACCCTGGAGGATCTGCAGAAGGAGGAAGACAAGGTCAACAACCTCAGCAAGCTCAAGGCCAAGCTCGAGCAGAACTTGGATGACGTAAGTATTGAATTTTTAAAATCACCCCCCCCCCCCAATATCTAGCTTTTTGTCACCATGCAGGTACCAAAACGCATGCCACCATTTGGAAGAATATCCTCCTCCCATATTTGAAAGTTAAAATGGTAGCCCCGATTTCATTTTTTTAACTAAATATGCCCTATGCCATCGCCGTTAAAATCGAGCCACTCTTCTAACTTCAGCTGGAGGAGAACCTGGATCGCGAGAAGAAGGCGCGTGCCGAAGCCGAGAGGCTGAAGAGGAAGCTGGAGGGTGACCTGAAGGCCGCACAGGAGACTTTGGGAGGTCTGGAGAACGAGAAGGCCGACCTGGAGGAGCGCATCAAGAAGTATGCCCGCAATTATCCAATGCTAACAAAAAGTAAAAAAAAATATATGGAGTTAAACATTGATAACAGTCGGGTTTGATTTTCATTAATAGTCCTAAGATATCTCCCTCATATATCTTTTCCATTTCCCTGATTTTCACAGGAAGGAGTTCGAAATCAAGGGCCTTGAGGCTAAGCTGGAGGATGAGCAGGGTCTTGTCACATCTCTGCAGAAGAAGATCAAGGAACTGCAGGGCCGCATCGAGGAGCTTGAGCAGGAGCTCGAGGCCGAGAGGAACGCCCGCGCCAAGGTCGATAAGCAGAGGGCTGACCTGGCTCGCGAGCTCGAGGATCTGGGAGACCGTCTGGAGGAGGCTGGTGGCGCTACCGCCGCCCAGGCTGAGGTCAACAAGAAGCGCGAAATCGAGCTGCAGAAACTCCGCCGCGAACTGGAGGAGTCCAACATGCAGCATGAGGCCACCGTCGCTGCTCTAAGGAAGAAGCTGTCCGACGCCAGTGCTGAGCTGGGCGAGCAGGTAGAGAACCTGCAGCGCGTCAAGGCTAAGCTGGAGAAGGAGAAGACCACCCTCAAGATGGAGGTGGATGACCTGGCTACCAACGTCGAGGCCA